CAGGTGGTGAGGTGGACTGTGAACTGGCTGAAGGAGAGAAGCCAGAGAGTTGTAGTCTATGGGGCTGAGTCTAGTTGGAGGCCTGTAACTAGTGGAGTGCCTCAAGGGTCAGTACTGGGACCGGTATTATTTAATATATTCATCAACGATTTAGATGAGGGAATTGAGTGTACTATCAGCAAGTTTGCTGATGACACTAAGCTGGGAGGAGTGGCTGACAGGCCAGAAGGCTGTGCTGCCATCCAGCGAGACCTGGACAGGCTGGAGAGTTGGGCAGGGAATAACTTGATGAAATATAACAAGGGAAAGTGTAGAGTCCTGCATCTGGGCAGGAACAACCCCAGGTTCCAGTATAGGTTGGGAAGCGACCTGTTAGAGAGCAGTGTAGGGGAGAGGGACCTGGGGGTCCTAGTGGACGACAGGATGACCATGAGCCAACACTGTGCCCTTGTGGCTAAGAAGGCCAATGGCATCCTGGGGTGTATTAGAAGGGGGATGGTTAGTAGGTCGAGAGAGGTCCTCCTTCCCCTCTACTCTGCCCTGGTGAGACTGCATCTGGAATATTGTGTCCAGTTCTGGGCCCCTCAGTTCAAGAAGGACAGGGAGCTGCTGGAGAGAGTCCAGCGAAGGGCAACAAAGATGATTAAGGGAGTAGAGCATCTCCCTTATGAGGAAAGACTGAGGGAGCTGGGTCTCTATAGTTTGGAGAAGAGGAGACTGAGGGGTGACCTTATAAGTGTCTATAAATATATAAAGGGGGAGTGTCACGAGGATGGAGCCAGGCTCTACTCAGTGGCAAACAATGATAGGACAAGGGGTAATGGGTACAAACTGGAACACAAGAGGTTCCACTTAAACTTGAGAAGAAACTTCTTCTCAGTGAGGGTGACGGAACACTGGAACAGGCTGCCCAGGGAGGTTGTGGAGTCTCCTTCCCTGGAGACATTCAAAACCCGCCTGGACACATTCCTGTGTAACATTATCTAGGTGTTCCTGCTCCGGCAGGGGTATTGGACTAGATGATCTTTCAAGGTCCCTTCCAATCTCTAGCATACTGTGATACTGTGATACTTCAGACTGGTCTGAGTTAGGATTCCTGTACTCTCCTCCTTTCTACTCCTGTTGGCAGAATCTGACATGTTCTCTCACCATATTGCTAGCATGGCTGCATAGTAAAACAGTTCAGGAAGTTGATGGCTTTACTTGCCATTGTCCTGGGTTCAGCAGTAGCAGTCATGTTTCTCCTCCTTGGTAGCTGGTGCAGTGCAGTGTTTTGACTTTTGGCTCGGGAACAGAGCTGATAGTGATGTTTTGGTTTGGCCAAGGACTTTGTGAGCCTCATGCTCTGCCAGGGAGGAGGGGAAGCCAGGAGGAAGCAGAGACAGGACACCTGACCCAAACTGACCAAAGAGGTATTCCATACCACAGCACGTCATGCCCAGGATGGAACTGGGAGTTAGCCGGAAGGACTGGGAGATGGCAGGGTTGGAGGAGGTATCGGTCGGTGCTTGGTCGGCCTGAGGGGGGGCAAGTTATCGGTCGGCTGGTGCTGAGGTGTTGTATTCTCTTCCCTTGTTATTTCCTTTATCATTGTTATTATTGGTGGTAGCAGTAGTGATTTGTGTTATACCTTAGTTACTAAATTGTTCTTATCTCAACCTGTGGGAGTTGCATTCTTTTCGATTCTCCTCTCTGTCCCTCTGGGAGCAAGGGGGAGGGCAAGAAAGGGGGGGAAGTGAGTGAACGAGTTGCCTGACTGGGTTTAAACCACGACAGCCATTTATACTGTTTTGTTCTGCTATGTAACCTTTGGGTGCTGTTTGACATTTTGCCTCCTCCAGGGTAGATTGACTACATAGTGCCTTTACTGTTAACCCACAAAAAGAAAATAATGGATTTTATTGGTGTTGCCTTACTGAACCAGCTCACACTGTGACTGCATACTTGCTAAATCTGATGCATGGTAAATTTAATCTCAGTTTACCTTTTAAGAATAAACTTGCTACCTGGGGTGGCAGCAGGCAAATATATATTACTGAGTCAGGTGCTGGGGAAGACACAGCTTTAGGTTCCCCTCATACATTTCCACGATTCAATGTATGGCCTAAAAAATGAGGGCATATAAAGCATGCTAACTGTTCATAAGTATAGATAGCTCACTCTGTCACAGGATTGGAAGGAAAAGAATTATCTTGTGATAACACTTTTTTTTTTTTTTTTTTACAATAAATTCCATAATTTATGCAGTTCAGACTTGGAGAATGCTTATGCATCTTCAAATTGTAGGCACATTTTTCTCAACCAGTGATGCCAAAAAGAATTTAAGAAGTCATAGCCTTAACACTTCAGGGCAACTTTTGGTACTAAAGTAATGTTTGGTATTTTTCTGGATTTCAGACTCTTTGTACAAATTCCCCAGACTGCCTGGCATGCACCTAACTTAATAAAAAATATATCTATTTAAAGCATATTTTAAACTTCTATAACCATATTCTGTTAGAAAATTTCTTTTTTAGTGTATAAGAGAAGCAAAATTTCTCTTCTAGTGTGTAAGAGCAGCATAGGCAACAAAGAGACCTCAGAACACAAGGTTATCCAGTGATCAAAGTAGAAGTATTTATGTAATCTCTTAATACCATACCAAATAATGTGATTGTGCACTTGATAGTATTACTGCATAATTATTAATTACAAGTAAGCTCATATTAGAGGTTCTGCAATGGAAAGCAACATGAAGGTAATTAACTGCATGTATTTCGGCACTATCCCAAAGAAAACTGAAGGGGCTAATTTAAGTATACTCTCACCTTTTAAAATCCATGCTTGAGCTTTCTGTTGGGATGCCCAACCACTGTTTGAAACTGTTGTCTTTGCAGTACTGGAGCCTCCATGCTGTTTCCCAGTGTTTGGCTGCATTAAATAGATACAAGACCAAACTCTTTATATATAATTTTCATTTGAACTACAGAAAAGTGATACTGCTGTACTAAGAAGATACATAGTACTAGAGTCCTTCAGTCTTTGCTAAAAGTGATGGTCTCAGATCCGGAATCCTTTGCTGAAGAAGTGGTTTTGTGGAAAAAATAAAAAATCCGTGTTGTTTCCATTATATAATAAAAGCTTCTGTATCGCCTCAGACAGACTCTGTCTGTCAGGGAGTGTCAGCTCAGAACATAACAATTTCTCATCAGAGGAAAAAAATTGCCCCCATAAGCAGCTGGGAGCAAAAAGCGCATCTTATTTTACGTCATACTACTGCACTGGTATCAGAAGAGGGGCCGCGGCTGTAACAGCACTTGACGCTGTGGAAATAACGACAGGGAGGGCTGAGATCTACCCTGTTCCGCGCAGACGTAACCGCCACGGGCCTCAGGGCACCCTCACGCTCCCTCACGGCGCGGGCCCCACCCCTGCGGCAACGGCTCGGGGAGCCGCACGCCACTTCGCGCCTTCAACCCCGCTTGCCGCCCCGGCGAAGAGCCGCCCTCCAGTCAACCTCCCCATTGGCTGCGCTTGCTCGTCCCCCGCCAGTGGCCGAGCTGGGAAGGGCGAGGGGAGGGGCTTTCCCAGAGGCGGGCGGGGGAATGCGGCTGTACTGCGCCTGCGCCCTGGCGGTGTGTGTGGGGGTGGTGTTGTGCAGGCGTGGGGTTTAGGGGTCCTACGTTTACCTTCCTGGTCGCGTTGCGTCGGGGCTGGGCTGCGGAGCTGAGGCGGGAAGAGCCGTGCGTGGCTGAGGACCCGCTCATGGCAGAGAGGTAACAGCCGAGCGGCACCGCATGAGCGCGGGAGGTTTGAAATGTAAAGCGTGGCGCGCGGGACGTGCCTGGCTGCCTTCTCTGCCGCGCCGGGGGCGGGAGGGAGTTCTCAGGGTCGCCGGGGCGGCACGGGCTTCATTTACGAAGAGGTCAGGAATGCCCGGAGTAGTCGGTGAGAGGAGCCCGCTGCTCTCAGAGCTCCGGCAGACATGGGTCTGTGTCGGGAGACTGGCTGCCCTGGCCTCTCTGAGATTTTGGCTATTGGCCAGAGGGGAGCTGAACCTTGAATACCGGTTTTCTAGTTAACTTTAGGTTAAGGGGAGAAAAACTTAGCTGGCTCTGTTTGAGGTACTTGATGTCTGTGGAAATTCACGTGTGCTTTACAGTGTTCAGGGAGATAAAAGCTTTCTTGCAAGAGCTGGGTTTGCAGTAGGGTCATAATTGATCTATAAATGAATATGGATATATGGGCACCAAAAGGAAGCACTAGCTGCAATAAATAGCAACTTTATGTCTCCTTCCTTGTGTTTTTAGTGCCCAAATGCTTGGTTTTCATTCCTCTCATCGAAGAGACAATGTGATGCTTTACTGTTTAGAACTAAAAAGCCACACTAAATATATATGAAAATTGCAGAGGGTTAAAGTTGAGTTTATGCTTGAAGCTTCCCCATTTCTTGTGTATGGGTTGCCTGTTTTCAAATCATGTTATGTCGTTGTAATGAATTGTTAATTCAGTTTTCAGAGGAAAGCAACCAACCTCCCTGACACAATACTGAAGTATGGGTTGAACAACAGATACTGTGTGTTGGAAGTCAGCATACTACAGAGAAATGGAAGTGATGCTGAGAAGCACTTGACAATTACGGCATCTCAGTCGCTGCAAGATACAGAACTGTGCATTCTTAGGAACGGCTGGTAATCCATACAGGAATATAAATGTCTGAAAAGAAGATGAAATATTGGGTTATTAAGTCAATTTTCTTTGTGTTAGCTTTGAGATGAGTCCTAAAAGTGATATGAAATCTTGAAGTAACTTTTATTTAATGCACTATTGCCAGTATATTAGTGTAATATTCACCTTGAGAAAACTGATGTCATGTAACTTGTGTTGAGTGCGTATTGCTACCTTGAAGTTTTAATGTGTCTTTGTACTAACAAACAAGACAATAAACATGAAGCAGGCTATTTAAGTGTTGCCTTGCAACAATTAAAGTATTCTGCTAAATGATGTACCCTTATGTGTATAAAGGTACAAAGCTATGCTTGTAAAACATGAGGTTTTATACAGTCTGTTAAAATAGTCTTAGCTTGAGCTCTCCTGCAGAAGTTTTTTCAAGCAAGGATAGGATTTTAATTTAGGTGTTTGTGTAGTGATTGCATGGTGTGTTAGAAAAGAAAAGACTAGCTTAGTTTTCTGAAACACATAGGTGTGCGTATGTTACTTAGCAACATAAAGATACTGAAATGGCTCTATACATAGATCTGGAATGACCTGAAGTCAACAGGATTTCCATGCATTCTGGTTTTCCTGATGTATGATCCAGTATTCAGAATGACTGAAGTTTTGTCAGTAAAAATTCCTTTATTCGCTTTCAGACTTGATTTAGGTCAACTTCTTAAAAAAGAATTGCAGTAATCTCCTGTTTCAAAGTATGTTGAATCCGCTCTAATAGCGCATAATTTCTAATACATTGTGTCCATAGCTTGCAAATGATTGTTCAAATGTATTACATTATAGGGAGTCTGTTCCAGTTGTTCCAGGAGACATAATTCATTTAGAAGGCAAGTGTAGCTCTGGTACCTGGGTCATCGATGAACAGTCTGGATACCTGGTTCTTTACCCAGATTTGCTGCTTTCTGGTACTACAATATCAAATAGTATTCGATGTATGAGAAGAGCAGTGCTGAGTGAAAGGTTTAGGGTAAGTGTTAATTCTAAAGCATCAAGTGTATTAATGGGTTACTGTTCCATTGAGATTGGTGGTTTAGTCCAGTGTTAAATTGACCAAGATACTGTATTGCAAAATGTTATTAATAGCTTTTCTTAATGTTTGCAGTACAATAACTTGGAATGGAAACTGTGTGTCTTTCATTGAACTTCTTGTTTTTTGAGAATTGAAATAATTCTATATTCTTAATACAGCTACTGGAACAAAAAAAAAAAAAGCTTCCCACTTAAAATTCTGGCAACTGTTTGATAATTTCTTGCCACATTTTGAATGGATGTGAATCCCTTGTGAGTGATCTGCCTCTTATTAACCACATGAATACATAGCCATGCTTGGCCAAGTTAGAAGCATCTGAAAAAATCAGCCAATTCATTAAGAATTAGTGTGGCTGATTTGGTAATCTGAATCCAGCGGCTAGAACTTGGAAACAGGAGAAGTTTCTTGTAATATCAGCACTGATATGTGGCAGAGAAGCCACAGCTGCCAGTTTCAGCTGAGGAAAACTTCCAGATGTGGTAGGGGTATAAATCCAAATGGGCCAGGAATCGTAATGGAGAGTACGTGGGCTGGCTGGGAGCCTGTGACTAAAACAAGAAGATTAAAGCACGGGAGAAGACTGTGAAATGGTGTCAGCCCTTCATTAGAGGAGTAATAGGAACAAACTAATCATTTGGAAGGGACAATGCAGAAAGTCCTGACTCTGGGATAACGCCATCCACCAGTTGTGAATGCAACCTACAAGTGCCAGGTCTGTAAAAGATACCAATAAGTACTTAAACCACAGTGATCAGATTTCCGGTTGTTTGGTGGTGGCTTGTGCAGAGGTCATAACTGATTACTACTTTCAATTCGTATGAGTCTACAGAGCCCAATCCTTGTGATGCTTACATGGGTTTTTGAGCCATTTTGATGATATTTGGAATAATTCTGTGCGAGTTGCTAACACACAGAAAACTGTTGCATACAAAAAGGTAGTATCTGTAAGATTGTAAAAGGATTTGCATTAGAAAATACTAATATTAATACTACCCACAGGCAAAACTTACTCAAAACAGATTTTAATGTATGTTTCTCACCTGTCAGTTACATAGTGATTGTATCCTAACATTATTAGGGTTTGGACAAAAATGAAAGATAAAGAGGGGAAGACCCATTTCAAACTGTCTGTTTTCACAGTCAGAACAGGTATTAGTGAAGTGAAAGCCCTAATTGTCTTAGAATTAAATAAGTGCAGTTCATTGTGCAGCAAATAAAACCAAGAAATTTTATAGATAATTTGGCACTAAGTGGGCGTGAATCTTCACATATATACATGTGTTATGTAACATCTGTTGCAGGGCTCAGAGTCTGGTTCGCGCCAAACACTCGTTGGTACAATTCTTCATGAAATTTTCCAGCAATCAGTAACAAATAACTTGGCACAAGAAAAAGTAGAAGAACTTGCAAATAAAATTGTGTATGGCCAGAAGTATCTCAAAGAAATGTAAGTAGCATTGCAGGTGACTTTTATGTTTGGAAGACAGGGTAGAAGCACTTGAACTTGCAGACTTATCTTAGAACCTTGTTAGCAGACGTATCTTAGAACCTTAGTTTTAATTTAAAAACCATAGTGCTAATATTCTGAGAATGGTCTACCAAATGAACTTGCTTAATGAAACTTCGGTATTTCTTAGTGAGAGCAGTCCACCTTGGCCTCCAATCGGGAGACGTGGAGACACACCATACATAATGGCGTTGACTCCTTTGAGAACTCACGCAGAGCTAGTCTCGAGGAGAAAAGACAGCGTAGAAAGAATCGTGCCCCACCTATACCGCCCAAGGAAACCTTTTGCTGTGCTTTTTGCAGCCGGATTTGCCTGTCTCACATTGGCCTTTTTAGTCATCAGCGCGCTTGTAGTAAGCGTGGGTAAAGCCCTTCCCAAATCTTCGTTGGCGAAGTCAAGCCATGATGATGATGACGAATGTTCTGTAGTGTAATTTGCCTTCCCTGCTGAGCAACTTCTACAGATCTGAACTATGCTTCTGGAGTAACTGTATGTGTGGCATGTTTTTTCAGGCCAAGCAGGTTGGGGTGTTTGTGCCTGTAACATTAAATTTCCAGGCATCTTCCAAAGTTGAGTTAAATGTGATAACTGATTTTGATCCTCAGGAGATTAACTTTAAACTTGTGACTGACCAAGCACTGAGTGTCTGATATTTTCATGTTCTTTGTCAGATTACTTAATGGCTCAGTTGTTAGAGGACCTTTATCCTGTTTTCTCTGGTAGATGGTAGAAATGTGGACTTGATTAAAATGTAATTTATGTAAAAAAAAAAAAAATATATATATATACATATTGTTAGGAATTGTATATTGGGCAATGTCAGTATCTGTTAGCCCCAGATGAGCTTGAAGTTAAAATTAATTAAAATATTTATTACACTAGTTCTGTTATGAAGGTAGGTATTTTGAATTGTGACTTCTGAGATGACTTAAAGCCCTTTGTATCACTCTGTGTCTCTGGAACTGATGACTTGCAGTTACTCTTTTTGTGTCTAGGCAATTAATTGTTAGGATTGAAAAGTAAGTTACATACGTTTGCTGGCTGTGCTCATTTGCACTTGTATAAACATTTTTGTGCAAAACTCACTGGTATTTCCCTGTTGCTGTAGAAAAATGACATTATATCCACTGAATTGTAGAATGCCAGCAATGAATTATCTAATGCCACTCGATTAAGTTCAGTTTAATGAGACTTATGCTTTCATGTGTATTCCTAACTGTAGCAACTGCAGATGATCATGATTCCTTTCCATTTAAAATTTAAGATGGTTTAAGGCCTGTCAAAATGTATGTGAAGAAGTAGCACATCAGTATTCCGGCAAAAACCAAATGGCTGTCTTTCAATTTTTATTTTATTTTTTTAATGGTTTCAATTTTACATAAAGCATAGGATTAGCCATTTTAAAATGCATGAGTCCGGTACCCCTTCTTACAGTCTAGCTTTCATTTCATCACACCTACCGTGCTGATGCTTTCATTGAGTTACACCTGACATTTTGAAGGCTACATCAGATACGAATACGCGTTCTGTCTTTTATGGTGGCTGTTCAGTTGTTGAACCTTAATGAATCTGCCATTATCTACAATTTCTAGATGTTTATTAAAACTTGATAGTTATTTCCATTAATCTTGTTGCTATTTCATGAAAAATCTTGTTTGTACCAGCAGCAAATCTAATACTTCTGCCTTGTTATGTGCATGGCTTTATTTTTTAGGTATCATTTAAATCTGAGACAAACGGAAATAATGAGGGAAGTGGAAGAGTATTTGCCATCATTTTTTAAATGGGCAGAAGACTTTATGCACAATCCAGCTAACCAAAATAAAATGCAACTAAAACTGTAAGAAAACAGAATTAAAAGTTTAAGACTATTCTACATTGTGTATCTTGTTTGGTTCACCTTTCATATTTGGATCAACACTTTTCATGCAGATGTGTTTGCATATGGAGCTAATTTATGGCCTTACTGCCAAAATGGCTAATCTTGAGCACTGCAAGTTTAACTGCCAATATGAGCACTAGGAAAGATGTTAAACATTTTGTCAGTTCAGGGTGAACTGATATAAAAATCATACTGGTCTTAAAATCTTTGTAAACTAGGTAGTATAAAGTAGAAATTTTAGTAATTAGAAAAGCAAGCATATTTGGTCTACTGTATTAGAAGTTACAGGCCAGGCTGGATGGGGCTTTGAGCAGCCTGGCCTAGTGGAATGCATCCTTCCCCATGGTAGGGAACTAGATGGTCTTTAAGGTCTCTTCCAACCCAAACCCAAATCATAGTAGACTATGATTCTATTATTACTGTAGGCATGTGCAAGACTACAAATCAAAATGTGAAATTATTTATTAATGAAATGTAATTCTTCACTAGGGTAACATTTTATCAGTGAAATGTTTATTTTACTCAACTGCTGCTAGGCTCTTGTCTATGACTTCCTGATGTTAATAGCCATGTGTGAAAGTTTTGCTGAGATGGCAGATCTGGGTAAAATCTGTATATGTATAAAATCAGTGTATATCCTTAAACTTTAAGCACAAAGTATTTTAGAGTGTGGTTATTCAGAAGAGACCAAAACCTATTAAAACCAGTTAATGTGCAGTTTAAAGTAGCTTTCTGATATGAAGGGGAAGAGAGTTTGAGTGAGACTCAATGCACTTTAGATAGAAAGTTAGTGGCTAAAGAGTGCAAAGCCATAAATATTAAATTACATTTTAATATTTCAATAGTAAGAAATAAAGGAAACTTAACTTCCAGCTTTAATTTCTTCCTAGGTCCAATGGTGAAAAAATAGAAGATTTCTCTTGTAAGATAGAGATTGTAGATATCTTGGATATTGAAGAGAATATATGGTCTCCCAGGTTTGGATTGAAGGGAAAGATTGATGTTACAGCCAGAGTGAAAATCCATCGCCAGCCTGGAGTACAGTCTAGGGTAATGCCATTAGAGCTCAAGTCTGGCAAGGAATCTAATTCCATAGAGCACAGAAGTCAGGTACAACAGCTGATCTATTTTTGTCTTATGAATATGAAACATTTTGTATGTGGTATCATCTAGATTTATGGATGGCTGATCCTAGCATGCCCGAAGCTGCTGATACGAAATGAACCAAGCAGTGAGAAGTATATGTTTACCACTTTCAAATGCATTTGTAGGTTGTTGCTTGTTTGGGGCTTTTTTTAATCTTAGTGTATCTGTTCTTCAGTCTCTTCTTACTGTATGCAAGTATTAGGTTCAGGCAGACTGCTTGAGGAATTAGTGTTATACATCTTTCTGGTTAACTGGCCTGATCTAGAGATAGTAGCCTTGCATACAAGCTTCTGTTAAGGAAGATGCCTTTTAATTGAAATCCTTGGCTACGTGCTTACTACTTACAGCTTCTAGATTAGTTGTCATGATAGTGGCTGCTTAACCATACCAATAATGGAAAAATTAAGTACACTGTATAAAGTATTTTGGTTTTAATACATTGTAATAAGTTTTATACATAATGTTTGCAGGTTATTCTGTATACTTTGTTGAATTCAGAACGGAGAGTAGATCCCGAAGCTGGATTTCTTCTTTATCTTAAAACTGGTACTATGTACCCTGTTTCTGGAGCTCGCATGGACCGAAGAGGTAAGGTTGTTCCGTTTCCCCACAGATCTTAATTATCTTAATTAAAATGAAACATTTTAGTAATAGTTATAAGGTTTACTCTTATGAACATATCTGTACTTGGGGATCTGTTGTTTGTTACAATGTTACTAATTCCAGTAAGTTTATGCTAAGAACTTAATTGTTCTATTAGTATGCCACTAAGACTTTGCTATATGTTTCTTAGCTGACTAGAAAGTTGATATCTAGTTACCTTTGCATTAGTATTACAGACAAACCCAAAACCATACCCTTCAGCTTAGTCTGTTTTTTAATTCTTTGACAGAATTAATGAAGTTAAGAAACCATGTGGCCTTCTACTTAATGCACAGTACACATGAATCTGCCATGGGAAGACAAAATTCACAGCTTGCTGCTTTGCCTCCTGTAGTAGATGACAGTCAAGCCTGTAAATATTGCTCCCAAGTGCACAATTGCGTTCTATATGGCAGGTAAAAAGAAAAAAGTTTTGACTCGTGTTTTTAAATAAGCTTGAATAATTGTAGATTTTGATACTGTGGTTTCATTTTTGTGGTTGACAGCCTCTTATTTCTTTGAGGACTCTTGCACTCCAAAAGAATGCTCCACAGACCCCACTGTAACTTTTACAGTGCAGGTCCCCACTCTCGCACACACTCAGTGTATTTGCTCAGGTACGCTTTCTGCAAGGCAAAGTCTGAGATAAGCCTCAACAAAATACTCAATGATAATAACTGATGCCTGTTGCCTCTAAGTAAATAATGATTTTAAAAGGTATATTCTTTCAGCTCTTTGAAATAGCAGTCTTTTAAGGCTGAATTATGGCTGGACAGCAGCACTTTCACTTTGACTCTGTAGGAGACTGCTTTTCTATAGGGTATTACACAAGTACTGATACTGTTGTGGTTTACTCAGGACAAGTGCATTGATATTACTCTGCTTAAGTGTTGCATCTCCTGTTGAAGTGAAGTAATGAGCAAATACTTGATAAATTTTCACATAAAGTTATTGAATTGTTTTAAAAACAATTAGTTTTTACTCATATGCTGCACAAAAAAACAGAACCAAAATTGTATATTGAAGAGATCAAATGAGATATGTTAGAACAGGAGAGATTTTGGGATAATCTTGTGTAAATATAATGCATTCTTGTTTTTCAACTTGTAGGGGTGAAATTGTAGGTTGAAGGAGCTAGATTAATGGCCATACATGGTAGGTTTTTGTAAACTAGTTTTTGTGAAATATTACTTCTAACATTCAGTTGTTAGAGCAAGAGGATTATTGCTAACTGGGTAGCTGTTCATTTCTGCAACAACTTTTTTTTTCTTTGCATTTTGTATCTCTGATTAGATATAATGTCTATTGATACTTAGTTTTGAGATAAATTGAATTAAAGTCTGTTTGTGTATTAACTATTAAATCCACTTTCCTTAGCTAAATCTCAATGTAGTATTCATATGTTACAAAAAAGGAATAAAAGATCAACTAGCTGAATGTATACAGTGTTATCTTTGAAATGTCTTTAACTGTTCTTTGGTTAACTTATTGTTCTCCATAATTCAAAATCATAGGATGATGTAAAGTTAGTAACATGAGATTGTTCACATGAATAAAGGATATAGATTAATCTATCACTGAAATAAAGTTGAATCTATCTGGTGTATTATGGTATATATTTAGATCAGCATTACTTACATACAGACTTACAAGAAAAAAAGATACAAGTTGATTCTTTCCTGTGTTTGTCTCTACTCCTAGAGCTGTAGAACAGAAGATGGCCAGTGTGTCTTTTCCTTCTGCTATGGTACCCATTATTGAAAGAGAGACCCAGCACCTGAAACCCTCCCACTTAGAGTATTTCAGCCTGTGGTACCTAATGTTAACCTTGGAACTACAAAGTGGAGAGGGTAAAAAGGGATATAAAAATATATGGATGATGCCGTCTTTGGAAAGGTAAGATGTAAACTCTAACTCGGTACATATAATATTCCCTTCAGTAACAGGAAATGAAGCATTGTAACTCGTCTTCTCACTACAAGGAATATGAGATGTTTTCTAGTGTAGAATAGTGCTTGTAGAAATAGTCACCTGTGCTACTTGTGCACCTGTGCACAGGTAGAGTTTTTGTGAGATTTATTGGTTTTGTATTTGTTCTGTTTTTTTATTTATTTTTTTTTTAAGTGACACATAGGAAGCAGCAAACGGCAGCCTCAGTCTTCAGAAGCCTAGCTCATTGTGCCCTTTTCCTGAGGGCAAACAGTGATGCATTTTGGACTGTACTCCTAGGTGTGGCTGTGAATGTGGGTAAAAGCATACTAAAGGCTCTTTCTTGTTGGCTGAAGTAGCATGTTGTTACGCATTACCTAGTCCAGCAGCTGGAAAAAGATAATTGGCAGTTTGTAGGCCCATTTCAAGGCCTCTGTAAAAGTGAAATGTAGCTGAGTTGTTTTAGGTGAAACAAGCAACTCCATAAGCAAATATGGAACATTTTAGTGAAGTGGATCTGTACGTTTTGCTTTTTAACAGGAGATTATAGATAATTTTAGCCTAAATATTAGAGTCAGTTCTTGGAACAAGTATAAGGGTTGACTACTTAATCTTCCTGGTTCTTTGTGTGTGTGGTTTGTGTGTTTTTTTTTTTTTGTGTTTTTTTCTTTTTTTTGTTGCTTTAGGGTTTTTTGTTTGTGAGGTGTTTTTGTCTTGTGTTTTTTTCGTTGGTGGTTTTTTGGTTTTGGGGTTTATTTTTGGGGAGGAGTGGCCATTGGGTTTGGTTGGTTATAGGTGATATGTTTTTTACCTTTTTTTTTAATATTTCTCTCACTGAGAGTGTCTTAATATTAAAGCGTATTTATTTTTCCTTTATCTTCAGAGAGAAGACTGGAGATTGTGTTGGGAACATGATCAGAGTTGAAGAAGTACAGGAAATTTCTGAGGGAAAGTACCTGCATATCTTCCAACGTGGAAATGGTGCCATCCCTGGAACAAACCTATTGGTTGGTGATCGAGTGGTTGTGAGTGGAGAGGAAAATGGTTTACTTGGTTTGGCTACTGGCTATGTTAACGAAGTCAGTGTGACAAAGGTCTCCTGTTTATTGGACAGGTAATAGAATGCAAGGCGAAATATCTGTTTGAAGACACTATGATACTGCCTTCAGAAAGGGTGCTTCTGGGTGTTCTAAAAGCTCTGACATGTTCTGACTTCTCTGGCTGGGCTTGGGGAAGTACCCTTCAGAAATTTTCATGCCGTGATTGAGGAGTTCAATACTTGGTCAGTGTATATGCCTGTCTATTTAGCTATGTTGTTTGAATAAAAGCATGCTTGCAAATGTCCATTTACTCGTGACTCCAATGTGAGACTATATGGATACAGTGATTACTGTACTAATAGTAATTTTTGTTATTTGGACTATATTGCCTTTAAATTGGGCTCCAATAGTGTTTTATTTAGGTCAGTTAAGTGTGTTTCTTCTAGTTATTGCTTTACCCTAGGACCCCTGGCAGATAACATTTAACTTAGTAACAAGTCTTTAATCATCAGCAGACTGCTTGTAAACAGAATTATTTTGTCCATGTTACTGTCATCCTTCAGGAATTTGTCAAAGCTCCCCAAGAACATCATATTTAGGTTGGATCATGAAGAAGGCAATTTTGGCATAGGAGTCACTTTTGAAAACCTTTCTAAATTGATGAATGATTCCCCAGTCAGGTACGAGAAATCAAATTAATTTCACACTTACAATATTTTCAGGTGAAGTTCCTCAAATGGTAACTTTTCTTGGTTGGGTTCTTTTATCCACAGTGAAAGGCTCCGCAACTTGATAATTGACTTCCACAAACCACGTTTTATTCAGCGTTTGAGCTCTGTCCTTCCTCCAGAAGCAAAGGAAACTGTTGCAAATATTTTAAAAGGTACAAAGTGGCTTTCTCAAAAATCCTGTTAGGTAGTGCATCTCTACAGCCAAAACATTTATCATACTAAATATAAGGGGTTTTTCATACTTTTGGTTCCAGTGGTAGTTTTCTGCCTAAAAGTTAAAAACAAGTTTGTACCTTGCATGTTTTCTTTTGATTAAATAAGTCTTAAACTAGTTGGGACACCTGACCAGATATTTGTGTACAACTTTATTCTACTTCTGTTGCTGCAGCTTGCAATTTCAAACAGTGCACTGTATAATTGCCTCCCTAACCTTCACAAAAGGAAGGAACAGGGAAGGCTCTTGGGATAGAGGAAGCAGACTGAGAGTGGAATGAGATAAGCTTTGGTGTAAGCATTCACTTGCATAATCATTCTTGTTGACTTGTTGACTGTTCTGTAGTGTGTGATACTTTGTGGTGCTTTTTAATGTCTTTTTTAAAAACAAAACTTACTTAGGTATGTGGCAATGTTTGGTATTTGGTGATAATATTGTGGTGTTCTCTGACAGAGTTTTCTGTGAAAGCAGAAATTTAACAATTCTCTTAGGGAAACAGAACTTTTCATTAAAACTCAGTCTGAAGACTTATTTTTTTACTTGAGCTTTGCCTAGCTCAAATAGCTGGAATGTACTGGTTATTTACATCAGGCTCGGGAAGCACAGCTCTGACATAATGCTGCTTCTAAACAGAATGATGCTATATGTGCAACTCATTTCCCTTTTCTCTGAGCTGTATGCTTGAATGTGATAGTGGGTATGATAAAATATAAATGCATGTACATGATATCATATGGAGGTGCGGAAAAAAAGGCACAAAAGGTCTAAGAATAAAAATATCTTCAGTGATTTATTTCCAGTAGTACAGATGCTGTATTATGTGTTTTGTGTATTATGTTTAATATCATCACTTCATTAGAACATACAGACGTACTCTGCTCAATTTTTTTTCTTTAAGGGGTCTAGTGGAGGAGGAAACTAAAGTTTTGTTTTACTAACTTTAGCAATTATTGCAATGTTTATGAAGTATAGACATTTCATTTTGATTTTTCTTCTTAAAGGTCTAAATAAGCCTCAGAAACAGGCAATGAAAAAAGTGCTCCTTTCAAAAGACTACACACTTATTGTGGGTATGCCTGGAACAGGAAAAACTACTACAATATGCGCTCTAGTAAGATTGTGTACTTTGATGTTTAAATTTTTTTATGAGATTTAGAGGATAGCATTAGACAAATTGTGGCCAAAGCATACTGCCCAAAACTGTTGTGACTTAGTCTACTGGTATCTGCATAATTGCAAAGAAAATGCATTTCCTTCTACTTAAGAACTTGTATTTAATATAACTAGAAATGTATTTTGTGGAGTAGGAATCTCTTGCTTGTGTAGGAATGTATGTGGGAGAGAGGAGATTGAAGTGTGATATTTAATCACTTCTGTGACACTTTAATATTAAAATTCTTTGGCCCCAAGTGTCCTCAAATCCTGAGTTACAGTTTGGAAAAGGGACTCCTTGGGGAATTCAGTATCTTGTTCACTGTAAATTTTATAAATCCATGGTGCTGCAGCTATGTACAGCCTGCTAGCCGTCTCTAGTTAGCGGTTCTCTTTCCCCAGGAATGGACTATAGGAGCATACTGGATTCAGACTGTGGGCTGAGCAAGTTTTTCTTGAAATTGCAGTGTCATCTCATTTCCAGTTGTCATCAACTCATGGGGAAAGAGGAGGTTGGGAAGCAAGCAGCTGCTGCTATCATTAGATCAGCCTGTTCTACTGAATCCGTTGTGGATAAATTGTCATGGAGAACAGTGCTTGTGGGAACTGGCTGCATGACTTGTTCTGACAGTGAGGATCTTTAGAGTGCAGTTCCTTTTCAGTGCTGTTTGAGTGTGTGTGGATTTTCTTAGCTCTCACTGTTTGTGACGTGTATAGTAGGCCTGCTGTTTATGAGAACCATCAGGTCTATTGCCCATATTGCTTTGACAATAGCTAACTGGCAGGTCTGGTGAGAAAGACTGATATAAATGAAGTCATGCTGGTTATTCACTTCTTCTAAAACTTCATGTTTTTTACCTAGTCAAACATAGGATTGTTGATTCTTCTTTATGAACTAATACCTTTTCTACCTTTTCCTTCCCTTTGCAACTCGTTAGGTGAGAATTCTTTCTGCTTGTGGCTTCAGTGTTCTTCTGACTAGTTTTACACACACGGCTGTGGACAATATCCTGCTAAAGCTAGCCAAATTCAAAGTGGGTTTCCTGCGCTTGGGACGAGCTCAGAAGGTTCATCCAGATATACGGAAATTTACGGAAGAAGAAATTTTCAGGTCCAAATCAATTAGATCTGTAGCAGATCTGGAAAAGGTCTACAACAGTCAGGTGAGAAGAGTTTTTGCGCTAGTCCTGCCAATTGTTAAGGGATAACTACATTAATATTATGGTTGGTTGGATGCCACAGGGAAGGAACTCATCCCAAAGGTGTATCATTGCTATATGAAATCTGAGCTGAAAAAGATACTCCATCTCTTCAATTTCTTTATATCAGTAATGACCAATGTTAACTGTCTGAAAGTTGAAAATCATTGTTTACATCTACAAAAGGTAACTTAGCTTTGTTATAAGTTCCAAAGATTCCAGTGCCTTTACCTGACATCTTGTGGGGGGTGGGGGTAGTGAACTGCTGCAACCTTCTCTAACATTATGCACCTGTTGCTGCTGTTCCTCTCTTTTCCTCCCGCTTGTGCTTGCTGGGCCATTAATACAATGAGCAGATGGGGAAGAGGAAGTAGTGGTGTGTTGTGGAGCTGGCCTGGCTGAACACGAATATTTGATTGAAAAATAAGTGCTGCCTGTCTGAATATCAATGCAAACTGTAACTGGAGCTGGGTAAACTGAATCAGTGGCAGCTTTCCATTAAATTTCTTGATAGAATGAGGCTTCGTGGTAGTTGGAATAAATGCCAGCTTTGCAAAAGATGCCATTTACTTTTTTTGTTGATAGGCATTGCAGGGGAATGATTAAAGTCATAAGGGAAGTGACTTAATGTTTCATATTCTAGTCATTTTGTATTGCAGTGGAAGCACAGCAGTGTGAAGAACTGTGCTGCAATTTTATCTTTGGGATTAAAACACCCCAACCAAACATGTAGTTTTCCACAGTAGTCATTTCAGCACACTCCATGGATTGTATATGCGTAGAACCTGATACACTAAACACATGGCAGGAACAAGTTATTTACTACAGTCTGCTATAAGATGGTTTTGGTTTGTCCCTTGCAATCAATGCAAGCATATGAGACCAATAGGTAACTAACGTATACTGGTCTGATTTTGAAGAATAATAATTTGATTTACATTTTAGTTTAGTGGGATTTTTTTTTTTCTTTTAATCTGGAAAATGTAGTACTAAAGGGTATAAGATGTATCTTATCCTTAAAATGTGTCTCAATTTTCAGGCAGTGGTAGCAACATCTTGCATGGGAGTAAATCACCCTATCTTTGTTCAGAGGCAGTTTGATTTCTGTATTGTTGATGAAGCTTCCCAGATAAGCCAGCTCATCTGTCTGGGCCCACTGTTCTGCTCCAAGAGGTTTGTGCTGGTAGGGGATCATCAGCAGCTGCCTCCACTTGTACTGAATGCAGAAGCAAAGTAAGAGAAAATGCTATTGGACAATTATTAGTAACATGAATTTTTGGAAAGGTTTTGCTGTGTTTCAAGTGACACGTCTTTTTTGGTTTTATTTTTTTGTTTTGTGACAGAGATCTTGGCATGAGTGAAAGCTTATTTAAAAGGCTGGAACAAAACCAAAATGCTGTTGTCCAATTGACTGTGCAGTACAGAATGAATAGGTATTTTAAACTTTTATCTACTATATTGGGGTTTTAATGTTGTGGGATTGAAAATGCAACATTTAATGCCTCTTCTTGTTTTTTCAATCTTCAGCAAAATTATGTCACTGAGTAACATGTTAGTGTATGAAGGCAGACTGGAATGTGGCTCAGAGAAGGTGTCAAATGCCACTGTTAACTTGCCCAACCTAATAAAATTGAAACTGGACCTTGCAGATGCCTCAAAAACATGGTTGAAAAATGTGCTTGATCCAGGCACACCTGTGTGTTTTCTGAACACAGAGAAGGTAATGTTCTCTTTTCATTATGTTCTCCCTTCAAAATTGTGGTTTTGATGCAAGTTATCAATACAGTGAACATGTAAAACATGTTCTAGCAGTACCTGTATTACAGTTGCATCTAAGAGCAGCAGAAAAGTTTAATTTGGATATTTTAGACAAATTGAATGTGCCATAAAGTTACTTCTTATGTACAGAGTGTAGCACAAAGTGTGTGGCCATATTGGATGCCCTTGCAAGCATAGAATGACCTCATTTCCAGTGTCCGTGGTGTCTAGGATGTGTACCAATGTCAGGAATAATTGCAATTCTCCACTGAATTTCACAGATGTTGTATACACTGAAGTGTGAGGGAGGAGTAAGTTGCTTTAGGTGTGTCCTTTAATGGAGACTCAAATGTTTGCCAGGAAAATGAAACTCTATAGAGTAGTTAAGAATCGTGTAAAGAAACTGACTTCTAAATAAAATGAGCAAGAGTTTAAATGCATGTGGAAAAAGACAAATTAGTACATATTTTTAGTTTTTGGTCTGAAAAGAAACACGGTGTTTAATTAGTGACTTGGAGACATTTCTAAAAATGCCTAAACTAAACAGGGGGACCTTTTCTAGGAATGCCTCAATAACTGCTGTTCCTTTCATAGAAAATCAGATAGTTGGTCCTTGGAAAGAGATTTATTCCAGCAGAGAACTGGCTGATACACTGTTCATCTATTAATCATACCAAAATTGGTAATCTGAAAGCTGGAGTTCCTGTTCCTCTTTTTTTTTTTTCTTTTTTTTTCTTCCCCACAAAGCCCATTCTCAGTACGAGACAGCTGTTCTGTTTGTAGAACCAGCATGAAAGCTTCACTTTCCTAAACGCTCCTGGTTTTGTTAAGACATTAGGGTATAATGTCATGTTTTGAGAGGAAGCCCAAAAAGTCCATGTATTGTTGTAGTTGTTGGGTGGGGGAAGGAGGGAGCCACCCCCTTTCCTCCAAACACAATAATAAATAAAATCAGTGTTTATTTTGTTTTCTTTGAGCTGCTTTTTGTCCCTATCCCCTCCCCCTCCCATATTCTATTATTCATAGTGTAACCAGGAAAAAATACCAAATGACACCAAGCAAGGTAGCTTAGATTTATTCTGCTTATTTTTTGGAAAAAAGCCTCTATTTGTTTCTGATTATTAATGTGACATGTTTGCTACAGTGAGCAAATGTGTTTGTTGCTTTTCTATCCAATCCCGTGTCAGTCTGCCCATCCTCTGACAGTTTGGGTCAGAATGTTTGCAAATTATATCCTTGACTTATCAGTCTTCTGAGTAATTCTAGGCCAAAGTTGGTTTTGTTAGGGTTTTTTTTTGTGTATTATGTGAATATACTATCATAAGCATTACCTGGCTTTTAGAACCTTTTTCTCCTGAAGTAGTTTTGTACTCTTTACTATGTCAATGCTAGTACGGATAGTAATGAACAGTTCATTAAAACTGCTTTTCTGCTTGAAGAAAAATTAGTCACATGCAGATTTTGAGGCTTATCAAGTGTGATGTTTTCAGAATAGTGAATTTAAAAACAAAACAAAACCCAAACAAGCAAACCCAAAACAACAAAAAAACCCAACCACCAAACTCCCAGAAAACAGCATAGCTGTAACAGTGTAGCTTAGCTCTTAATTCAGTTGTGATATGACAGGTCATTACAGTTGGACTGAGTGCATGGCAATGTAAAAAAGTTAACTTACAGGAAGTATTAAGCTATGTAGCTGTTGAAACACAAGCTATGGTGAAGCTGCTGTTTTGGAAAAGGCAATGGAATCTTCTAATATGAAGGAAAATACATTCTGCTTCTGTATCCAACATACTGCAAATTAACTATGTCATGGAAAAAACTTTGACATGTATAAGAATAGGATTGTTGCTGAAGTATGTAGTACCCTACTTAACACAATACAGACTATTTTTTTCGTATGTGGCTGGAATCCTAAAATAAATGTGGTGCAGTAGCCTACTATTAATATATATATATATGTGCTGCCTCAAAGACCTCTATTTAGAGTTGCAGCAGTGTTGCACATGGGTTTGTCAATCTCTATTAGATTATTTTTCTGTTCAAGTGCAGTGCTTTAGTGTGCTGGGTATTGAACATAGATTATACTTAGCGAGCTTCCCAGTCAGTTAAATTCCTGGATTTGTGAAGTTCTTGATGCATATTGTACAATGTCAGATTTTATATGTGGTGGCAAGGAGATGCCACTTACCTTGAATACTCTTACAAATATTAACGATATATTACTTTACCTATATGTTAAACATTATAGTGATTCCCAAACTCAGCCATTCAGATTATATTGGGGTGGATGTTTGGAGAAGTAAAACTAGTTGTAATAGGATTCTGAGAGTGTTTCTTTACATCAGGCTATACCACCTTCCACTTTAAGTGTCATAATAATTTGGAAGGAAAACCGAAGAAAGTAACATCTAAGAAACCAAAGTTGACCTATGTCACTAGTGTCAGAGGCAAGTAGTGGAACTGGTGAAGTAGTAAATGGCAGTAAATGGGAATGGTAGTAAATGGAATTTGGAGCCAAAAAGCAGTTTAGTGTATGCTCAGTTTTGGACTGTTTGTAAAGGGGTTTGTTGCTTGACCCCAGATGTTTAGCTGTGCCCCAGGTTACTAGAAGGACAATATCATGGACACATTTATTACTAATGATACTGGTTAAACTTTAGAGAAGGCAAGAGCTAAACAAACAGAATAAATTGTAAAACTGGCACTGATATAACAAGAGTTTACATTATAAGCTTGTTCCTCATTCATACATGATGCAGGGATTCAGTACTACCATTTTGGATAGTTCTTCCTGTAGTTTTAAATGTAGGCTTTGAAACATTAAAAAAGAAAAAAACATCTGCCATTGGAATGGGAAAAATTCACTGTAAACATTCTTGAATGGAAAGCTTTAAAACAGAAGTCCTGTGTGAAATGCGGTTTGTTCTCTTACTGTGTCAGGCTGGGAAATGTTTGTTTTTTTTCAAATGATGTATATTGTATGAACTGTAAAGTCAAAAGATCAAGATTTGCAGTTCATTAAGGTCACTTGCTAATACTAGGAAGTCATTTAAGTAAATTGTTTCAACTTGTTTTACAAATGTATTCTGAAGTTACTTTAAGGTATAGGCTATTATACTCTCTAAAATTTAGCATTTAGCTGTATTTTTTTAATTAATACTGTTACTATAACCATGTATGATATGGCGATCAGAACATAGTATGTCACTGTAGATTAGCAAAAGTCATTATTTTCTGGTTTGTTTTTATAGGTTCCAGCACCAGAACATGCAGAAAAAGGTGGTGTAAGTAACATGACAGAAGCTAAACTAGTACTCTTCCTCACATCCTTATTTATTAAGGTATCTTTAACTTTATTACATTTTACAGAGGGACAGCTTTATGATTAGTAATTTTTATGCTGCTGTAGTAATGGAGGCTATATGTATGTGTATGAATGTATGTATATATGAATATATATGTATGTATATGAATGTATGTATATATGTATATATACGTATATATAGGAATGTATGTATATATGTATATATACGTATATATAGGAATGTATGTATATATGAATATATACGTATAGATATGAATATATATGTATATATGAATATATACGTATAGATATGAATATATATGTATATATGAATATATGTAGATACAACATATGTAATGGTTTATTTGTTGAATTATAATCATAAGGATAAATTTAAGGTTAGCTACATGTCAATATAGTGAGGAGCTTGAGGTCTGCATTCTGTTCCCTGTGCCTTGCCCAGTTGGATTTTGGATGCAAGAAAAGCTGGATGCTATATTCTTTTAAGGGATGACTTTCTTGTGAGGTAGGGGTGAGAGATTTACCTTTCTTCCTTATTTCATCCAGTCAACTTCAGGAGTAGTACAGACAAGGAATTTTGAATGTTCACCTCACCATTTGAGGAAGAAAGAAAAATTAGGATTTTGAGAGTATCTTTGTGCTAGGTTAAGGCAAAGATTGGGAGCTTGCAATTATTAATCTTTTTTCAGTTAATACCACTTATACCTAGAGTTCCATTGGTGACTGGGTGTAGATACAATATCTCACAGCTCTGTTTAAAGAGGAAAAATAATCCTCGAGAGTCTTGTGGTAGTAATCAGTATCCCAAGTTAACTGCAGTGACCACTTTTTTTTTGTTTGTTTGTTTTGCTTGTTTGGTTTTTTTTTTTTGGTGTTTTCTTTTTTGTTGTTTTGTTGTTTTGTTTTTTTGTTTTCCATTTCTTCTGTTTTCAGGCTGGCTGCAACCCTTCAGACATTGGCATTATATCACCATACAGACATCAATTAAAAACAATCACTGATTTGATGGCAAAACTGAAGGAGAATAGAGTGGAAGTCAATACAGTAGACAAATATCAAGGAAGAGACAAAAGTATAATAATTGTATCTTTTGTTAGAAACAGCAATGAAGAAAATGTAAGTTGGTCATATTAATTTTCAGTCGATTTTAATAACCCCCTAATTTTCATAATGCATCTACCTACATTAAATTCTGAAATTTAAGAATAATAAAAACAATTCACATTTATTTAACAGCTTGGCACCCTCCTGAAGGACTGGCGACGTCTTAATGTTGCTATCACAAGAGCCAAGCACAAGCTAATCATGGTGGGCTGTGTTCCATCCTTGTCCTACTATCCGCCTTTAGAGAAGCTACTCTGCCATTTGCAGTCTGAGGCAATGATATCCTTTTTCTCTGTGCTGTTTTGTGAAAGGGGATAGGTAAGATTGGCTTATCGAGATAAGGATGGGAAGGTCTTTGATTAGTTAGGTTATACTTTTAACACTTATTGGCAACACAGTCCAAAATGTGATAATTAAATATGCCAAAAATATACTTGAGATCAAGCTAATGAATGGATTTAGAACCTTCACTGTCTTCAAAAGCAGAAGCAGTTCATGCTGATTTGCAAGTCAAATTGATATTTTCTAGTTTTAAGGCCTGAATTTTTACTGTTTAATGCTTTTGTGGGTGTTTTTGGTGATCTAGGCATCTAATGTCAGTGTGATTTGTTTTCTGCCTAAGTACCATGCATTTAAACACATCTGGTGAGAAAACTGTTCACGAGTAATGCTGCTAGAATGGAAAACGGTTTAACTTTCAGGTGACTTGCTTAATTCTTTCTTTCTCTGGCATTGTACTGAATTTGCTCTACGTACAGCTGTTTCCATGGCCTGTTTAAACAGGAAAGACCTTGTTAGCTGCTTTCTTTGCAAACACCAACACATACTCAAACAGGTTTTGTGGGTTTTTTGTGAAAGTGACGATATCAACATGATTCCTTAACTTCCTACATTTTCAATCTTCCAGCAGGGGCTCATGAAAGTCTCCACATGTGTAATATTTTATGATTGTGAAGTTGAAGAGTTTTACAAGCATTTGTATATTTCTTTCTGGTGCTGCTTAATTTAAATGATTGCTTAGTGGAGTACAAGGGCTGATGTGCATTGTTTACTCTGAATGAAGCAAAACCAGAAACAAGATTCAGTTATTTTAAAGGTTTCTTTTTGGAAAAAGAACAACACACGTTTCTATGTTTAAGATGGTCGGTTTGGTACCGGTGTACTTCAGACAAATCAGAAATATGAAGTACTCTTCCTTCAGATACTGGATAGCTACTTTTATTTTCACTTTTATCTTGATAAACAGATGCGTAAGGGAATGAAGAAATTCTTGAGGAAGAGGGGGAACCAGGGCTGCATTGTGTCATAGTTTTCTGGGCTGAGTTTGGTTTTAAAGACTTTAAAATGTAGTCTACATACAGTAATTCCATTTCTTAGAATTCCTAAATAAGATACTGTGTTGTTCTGCTATTGGGGGGGGGGGGGGGGGAATTTTCTCTTCCTCAGAGCCTCGTAATGTTCCTTAAAGGGTGCTTCTGCTTTTTTTAAATACCGAAGTATTTATTATGTATAAATATATTTTTATATTCATATAAATAATGCAATTAATCTATTATAAACATCCCATGACTTTTCTAATCTCTTGATTTTTGCATACATCTGGAAGAGATATGTTGTTGATTCACTTTTATGAACTAATTTAGCAGATAAATCTGGATGAAATAATGCCCAGAGAAGCATCTTATGCCCATATGAAGATCATAGTAAAACTCTAGTTTCAGTTTATCTAATCTGTAGTTTTTTCTTAAACAAAAAACCCCACAAACAACCTCCCCAGAACCCCAAAACTAGAGATGCAGCTTTATGAATAAGAAGTTTACATGCTCAGGTTGTATTTTTTGTAAAGAAAAGAAATATGTACAATGCAAAATGTCCTTTACTTAACAGATCTGTTTTCGTTTTTTTTATACTACCTCACACTCTAAACTATTACTGAGAAACTTCTTTCCAAGATTGCTGGTGGAAACCTGAAAACAGATTTTTTTTATTTTTTTTATTTTTTAATGATTAGTACGTGTTTTCTTTTGGGTCAATGTCAAGTAGTTGTGTGCATAGATAGAGTTGCAGACAAGCTTGTAGATTTTTTTTTTTTAACTGCTCTGTAACTTTTGTAATGCTTGAAATAAAAGTTTGATGTTGCTTTTATTATAGTGCTTTGTACTTTGCTAATACTTCATATAATCAATATTTTGAACAGTACAAAAATAGTTTGAATAATTGACAGGATATCCTCTTTTTCAGGTGAAAATGCACACTTTTTCAGTTGTGTATGTGCTCTGGGTCTTTCAAAAGATCAGGAATAGGGTAAAATATACTCTTATTACAAAATTTGTTTCAGAATAACATACCATTGTGTAAAAAGCTTTTCTTTCTGTGTTTAGGATCTATGTGTATAAAACTCCTAAGGCTTAACTTTTTTCGTAGACCAGGTTATGCTTATCCAGAAAATGATGTGCATGCCATTCAAATGTTAATAAATAAATCTGAGGTATTGCCCTCCCCCTACATATTTGCATCAGATGCAGGAACAAACCAGTCCCATATTTCCTTATCTCTTTCTAAAATGCATCATTTCTTCTTGTTGAATGGTAAAAATTAGATTGAGCAGAGATGTACAGTTTAAATATTTTGATCTAATACCCTCAAACAAAATTGGGATGTGATACACTAAACGACTCTTGCATTCCAATGCGCATATAGCAAAGGAGTATCTTGTAAAAAGCATCACTTTTCCCTTTTGCCTTTACAACAGCTTTATGCATAAACAGCTGTTGATTCTAGCAGAAAAAATGCAGACACAGGTTGAGCACTGCCTTAGTGCATTATAGAATATTTCAAGTTGGAAGGGATCCATAAGGTCAAGTCTAAATTCCTGTTCCTCATTTGACTACCTGAAAGTAAACTGCAGTGATCTTACCTCAGCCTTATGTGTCCCTGGGATTCCTAAACAAAGAAAGGCAAGCTGTTTCATGCCAGACTTGTAGAATCAGAGCCCGACTACTAGAACTGTTTAATGTTTAAGTGTATAGGTTCCTTTTTTCTTATGAGAGGTGGGAATTTTCTTTTAAGAGGTAGGAATCATGGACGTAACAAGTGGCCTTGTTACCATGTTCTATCCCTGTGTTGCCCTTGTCCTTCCTTGCAGGCCAAGGCGCGGATATCCTTCTTTCCTGTGCTGTTTTGGGTAAGGTAAAGCTTATCTTTTTGTTCTACAGCTTGCTCATTACCTTTTCCTAAGAAGGGAAGAGGAAAGAGCATGATTTAAATTAATTATTAGGCAAAGCAAACTATAGTGCTTAGGGTGCAGTAAACATAAACCGATACACCATCTTTATATGACGCAACTCCTTGGTGTTAAACACACTCATCCTCTGGGGTTACAGTGGTCTTGGGTTTGCTGAGATTTGCTTTTTGGAGGGGTTTAAAATAACAAATGAAAAAGTTGTTAATACCTGTGGTTTTAGAAGATTAGCTTTTATTCCCACCACGCTACTTGAGAGTCTGAACAGAAACATGTGTCTGGAGTAATAGTATTAGTTTTCTAGCACTGGAAAATGTGTGTCAGAATTATCTGCAATAGATGTTACAGGTTGAAGCTTAGTCATGAGAGAGGTAGCAAGGGCTTGAGGTTGTGCCTTTCTTGCATGAAAGGCTTCATGTGCCTAGGCTGGGACTCCTGGCCCTCTGTTTCTGAAAATACAGCTCTCCAGGGTGGTCAGGTTGATGCCACCATGCTCAGGCTGTTACGAGGACTCCAGTACCTGTAGCCCTGTCTCTAAACTCCGGCTGTGGAAGGACCGCGGCCGCCGGGCGGGTCCTCCCGCCGGCGGGGGCGCCGTTGGACGCGCGAGGAGGGGCGGGGCCGGGCCCACGCAAAGGCGGGACGGGAGCGGCTGAGGTGGCGGCTTCTCCTCTCCAGCCATGGGTGAGTGGGGCCGGGCTTGGCTGGGCTGGGGATGTCGCGGCTAGCGGGCGGGGAGAAAGGGACCTACAGCGGCAGCCGTCCCTCACGCGATGGAGGTAGCGGCTGTGAGCTGCGCTGCGGCGGTGCCCGCACAGTCAGAAAATGTCCTCTGCAGCGGGAACTGGGGCTGGGGACGGCCCGCGGCCTCAGGGCTTGGCGGCGGGGCCGGCCTCCAGCCCTGCAGTACGTCAGCCGGTACGGGCCCGAGCGCTGGCGGATCTCCCTCCCTCCCCCCTGTCACGGGCGGGTGTGGCGGGCGCTCTTGCAAACCCGGCGATGTGCCGGGGACAGGCTGTAAGGGGATTATGCCCGCGGGGACGCGTTAGTGGAGGAAATTACTTGTTTTCTGCTAGCTGTTGAGTGACAGAGGGAGACCTGTAGCTGTAGCGACTGCAGGTTTGGGTTGGTTTTTCTGCTTATGTTTTTTGCACAAATACTGTGTAGCAAGGGGTTGGCTGTTTATCGAGACTGGAAAAGGAATATTGTCTCTTCAAGCCTTGCTAGTCAGTCCCTGGTGAGACAGGTGACATCAGTACCACCTGCCAATAGTCCATTTCTTGGGTTGGTGCTTTGGGGTGAGAAAGGCCTTTCAGAGCCTTAAGGAGCTTATTTTGCTCCATGTGTGTGTAGTCTACCCTGTACAATGCTTAAGAAGCAGTTACTAGAAAATGTCATCTGAAATGTTAAATCTTAAATTTTTTAAGAAGTAGGTGAAGAAAAAACGCTATACATAGGTAGACTAAGCTTTAAAACACCTAAAATACGTTTCTGCTTCAGACCAGGCAAAAGGGCTGATACTTAAAAGGATAGTAGGCATGGAAGTGTGTCAGCGCCAAAAATCAAAATGGGGTCACCTGAAAAAGGAATTTGTAAGATGCCTTCGGGGAAACAAACTGAATTATGAAAACAGACTGAGGGAGAGCTACCTACCTGAAGTCTGTTTTGAGCAAGGCCTTTCCTGTAATAACACTTGTATTTGGTACTGCCAATAGCAGATCAAATAAAAAGGCAGGAAGGCTGACATCAGCTTTGCCAACAGAAATGTTCCAGCTGTTGCAAGCCTCTGTCTCTTCCCGACAGGGGTAACTGGGGCTGCCCTTGGTAGGGTTGGCTCAGGTCCTGGCGGCTGAGTGAGCAGGCAGTCAAGAGGCTAACTAGTGAGCTGTGACTGCTGACTGGGTAAATTTTTGCCAGAGCGTGGTTGCTAATTGTCTGCTGTGTCTTCTAACATCTAGTGGATTGTTTGGGTTTTTTTTTGGTTGAAGTACTGATAAATTGGGAGACTGTAATAGTGTTTTTAAGGTGTCATGGTTTAAGCGCAGCCAGCAACTCAGAACCATGCAGCCACTCGCTCATTCTTTCCCCTTTCTGCCTCCCCCCCAGCTCCTGCAGGGGTGGGGTGGAGAATCGAAAGAATGTAGACCCCATGGGTTGTGATAAGAACGATCCAGTAACTAAATAACACAAACCACTACTGCTACCACCAATAATAATAATAATAAGGGGAATAACAAAGGAAGAGAATGCAACCGCTCACCGCCCGCTGACCAATACCCAGCCTGACCCAAGCAGTGGTCAGGTTATCTTGCATACGTTGTCTCAGTCATTATGGTTTTTCCTAGAAAATTGTGCTAGGCTATGTTCTGGGGTAATAAGGTAATTTGATAGTTCAGTACAGAAAATCAGAAAGTAATTTTCTAAGATTCTAGTATTTAATACCTAATTGCATAAAGCTGTGGTATGCAAGAAATGAGACGGGTAATTTAATTGCTGTTTGAGGAACTAAGAAAGTATGTCTATTATAATGATAAGGGTTTTTTAGTCTTTATGCTCTTTGATGTGCAGAGATAAGGTCATACATGAATACTCAAATTTGTAGTGGAAGAGGCTGACATTTTTTCTCGCAAATATGTATAGATATTTTGAAATCTGTGTCTTAATGTCTAAACGATTATGTGTAGCTATATGAGAAACTCAAATTTCAGCATGTAATATGAAATGCTTTCCTGAACCTGCTCCTGGTTTACTGGCTGAGACTATGTACAGCCTCAGAAGGAAAACGTGTTCATGTCACTGTGAAATTAAGACTACAGTGGAAAGTGATTATATATAAAAAGTATGATGTCTGTTTCTGTAGGTACACTATAATACACTAAATAGATACTTAATAGGATACCTTAATAGATACTTAATAGGAATGTTGCTTTGATATCATGGAAAGGGCACCGATTTATGTTAGGCAGCAGAGCTTTTGAGTGCAACATTGATGCCTGTTTTAATTTGCAGTTACTGACAGCTTCTGAGTTGTACTGAAATGTGAGAACTGACATTTCTGGCCTTGTTTTATCATTCATCTATTAAAACTATGTAAGATCTGTAAGGGTGTTTGTTGGAGTGGATGCTTTTCTGTAACATGGTGGTTTATAGCACTTATTAAGTATTTGAGTTTATCTA